GGACCAGCCCTCCGCGCGGGGACTGGCCTTGGGCGCGGGGACCGGCCGCGGGCGCAGCCGCTCTCTCCGCAGCCGACCCCGCGTCCTTTATTCCTTTTTGTTTCTTTTCAATTGTAATCCCTCCCCTCCTTCCTCTCCAGGATCCTGCTGGGATTTTTGAGCTGGTGGAAGTGGTTGGAAATGGCACCTATGGACAAGTCTATAAGGTCGGTGTGGGGCGCCTTCTTTGTTCCCCGGGTTATGTCGAAACTTCGCGTTGGGAGACGAGGAGAAGGGCGATAAACACGCTCTGACTTGTGGCCACGCCACTTGGCCGAAGTTCGCAAAGGGCTTTCGCCTCGCAGCCTCTCTGATTTTAAGCAGTTTATATTCAGATGGTATTCAGATTCTGTTCTGTCACATGAGGTCGCTATGAGTCGAAAATGGACTCGCCCACCCAACAACCACCACAACCGTATTCAGATTGGCCTTAAAGGACCTCGTTTCCTGGCCTTGACATAAGGAAATAAACTACACCCTCAGGCATGCACTTTTGTAATAAAGTGGAAAAACGTTTTTCATAAGACGAGCTTAATTTTTTGGTGTTTTTCTTCCCAAATCTGGCCTTCTGAATTTGGGTGTTAATTAAAATTCAGTAAAGGCAGGCCTTGCGTATGATTTCCTTAAATCACTCCCTTGGACTTCTTGGAAGTGGTCGTCAGGTTTCCTGGTTTGAAAGCTGGCCAGGTGCTCAAGGTGCGGAGTTTGATGCTAACTGGGACTCCTTTATAACGCTCGTCTGTCATACAGGCTACTGATGGATACATATTGTGGGGTAGTAGGAAGGGAAGTGTATTTGGGCTACAGGAGCAGGAAGAATTACAGTGTGAAGATTATAAAATCTGAATTCCAGTAATAACCTGTTTGACAGGTGTGCCATTGAAAGAGGGAGAGAGAGCTAGGGGTAAAGAGGATGCCCTGGTTTCATACCCATTCCAGGTCTTAATGTCTGTTTTGTGTAACCCCCCCTCCCCCCATCATCAATGCAGTGAACAAGTCTGGAGACTGTATTAGTCTGTGATGAGTAGCTGACACCTGTGTGACTAACAGTGTTGTTCATTTTGTTCAGTGTGCATTCTGAAGATTATGAAAGAGCTGTAGGGAATGGAGGAGCAGGGCCTTGAAAATATAAGACAGTAGAGTCTTCCTGTCCTGTTTTGTTTCTTAAGATTTTCTACAAGTTATCTGTAGTGGAGGAGTTTTCTGGCTGTTAGAGTGGGTGCAAAGTGGGGCTAGAAAATGCCTTAGGAAGCAAGGCTTTCTGGTTCGCCGGGAAGAGTTGTCATTGTCTCCTTAAAATGGGGGAGAGGGGGCTGGGAGACTGGGAAGCTGACCGTAGATGTCTTCTTAGGCCAGATGAAGTATGGATCCTATTGTGTCTTTTCTTCTTTATGACAGGGTTTGCCCTCGTTTTAAAGCCTGTCTCCAGCCCCAGCTTCCCCTGGCCTGGGTAGCATACAGGCTGGGGTCTGAACTTGAGTCAGTATTTTTGGGTGATCTCAAATGAATTAGCATGTGTTTTGTTGGTTAACTGTTGGGGCCTAGGCCAGATTTTTGAATTTGAAAGGGAGCCCTGTTAACTCAGGCTGCTAGGCTCAACTGAATTTGGAAGTGTTTGGAAAATTTTGGAGAAGATTGTGTTGCAACTCACTGAGTGGCCTGGTAACTGGCTTTGAAAGATACTCTCCCGAGCCCCAGTGTTTGCTTAAACACCAGCCAGTTTTTTTCTAACCCAGTTTTTCTGGCTAAAGCTCGGTGGTGAGTGTACTCCAAGTGAGGTGCCCAGAGCTTGTTTTTGACCTGGTTACACAGTGGTGGGATTGTTTGTATCTTATTCGGTCAGCATCTGTGGTAAGTGCAGTGAAATAAGCTGAAGGCATCAGTCAGCTTTTAAACTATAAGGAAAAAAATAAAAAAGAATTCGAGTGTTAACTGGTTGTAAGAGGTGGGAGCTCTTTATGGTAAGTTTGGACAAGGTCATTGTTAAGTTTTTCCCCTCCTCATTTCCTCTTTGCACCTTCCCCCCCACCCCCACTCATGCTAAAGCTTTTGAAGTAGTTTGCTGAGCACTGCCTTGGGAAGTATTTGGGATATCCCTAATGACACAGCTTGCTTTCTGACTACAAAGTCTGTACAGTGGAGGAGAAATTTTTGTAATTATGCAAACCTAAAGAATTAAGAAAAGAAATCTCTGCAATAGTGCCATACAATCCAGAACAAAATATTGTTTGGGATTTTGCTCACAAGCAGTTGCTTTTTTTTTTTTTTTTAAAATTCTTATAATGGAAATTTTCAAACATACACCAATAGAATAAAGCACCCAATTGAACAGTTGTCAGCACATGACTAATCTAGTTGCGTCTGTGTTCCTCCTCTCTGCCATTATCTTTTTTTTTTTTTAATTTTTTTTATTGTACTTTAGGTGAAGGTTTACAGAACAAATAGTTTCTCATTACACAGTCAGTACACATATTGTTTTATGACATTGGTTAACAACTCCACGACATGTCAATACTCTCCCTTCTCGACCTTGGAGGACCTTTTTTCTTTTTTGGTGAAAATATACATAGCCAAAGAAATGCCATTTCAGAAATTTCTACACGTACAATTCAGTGACATCGATTACGTTCTTCTAGTTGTGCTAGAGTAGTCAGTTATTTTTTAAAAAGAGTTCTCTGTAGAGGTGGGAGACATTAAACCAGATGGAATGATTAGACAGTCTCTTTATTAAAGGTACAAGGAACATTCATTTCTTTTAAATATATATTACTTATTTGCATAAAATAATACATATATATACTGTAGAAAAATCCAAAGCTGCAAGTCAACAACAATAATAAATTGTTAATGACACCTGGAGAGATTACCACAATAATATTTTGGAATCTAACCTTGCAACCATATAAGTGTAAAGAAAAGTTTGTAACAAAATGCTTAGTCAGAAAATCAGTTTGGAAATAACGTCTCCTGCCTTCCGAGGTCGAGGGTATGTTAGCCTCAGGTTCGTTGTTGGTAGGTGCCGTGGAGTTGGTTCTGACTCATAGTGACCTATGAGCCTTAGGTTTAAGGAACTAAAAAGAGAAGTTGCTAGGTGTGAGCTACTAGTGGGCAATCTGTAAATCCAACTGATGTGCTTGGAGGGTGAGTTTAGAGCCAGCCACTAAACTTAATGTCTGAGAAGGAGAGTAATTGGTATCAACTCTTTTTTTTTTTCATTGTACTTCAGGTGAAGGATTACAGAACAAACAGTTTCTCATGAAACAGGGGTACACATACTGTTTTATGACATTGGTTAACAACCCCACAACATGTCAACCCTCTAACTTCTCAACGTTTTTGTTTTTGGTGAAAATACGCATAGCCAAAGATACACCCTTTCAAAAATTTCTACATGCACAGTTCAGTGACATTGACTACGCTCTTAGTTGTGCTGCTATTCTCACTTAAGATGAAGGCTTACAGAACAAAGTAGTTTCTCATTTAACAGTTACTACACATGTTGCCCTATGACAATGGTTAACAATCTCACAACACATCAACAATATTCTTACTCAACCTT